CTTAGACCAGCATTGAAAACCTGTAAGCACTGGACTCCTCAGCAGTGCGCAGTCACGATCCCGCCCGAAGGATTCGAACCCATGCACTCACCAGTGATTGACTTCGTGTGGGGATCCTCGGACTTCTAGTGAGAAGTCGTGAACAGTGGAGCTAATCCGTGTCCGGGAAGAGGCAGGCATTTACCTCAGTACAATGGACGATGGTAGCGCAACTTCGTAGATTGGTTGAAATTCGACACTAATATCGTTGGACGCCCGTTCAGTGGTCTAAAGGTTAAGCGGTGGCGCGTAATTCTGAAGGCTGTGGGTTCAAACCTCGCCAGCGTGATTGTGGATGCACAATGCTGATGAGTCCCACAATTTGACTAGTCGGCCGTCCAGTGTTTACAGGTTTTCCATGGTAGTCTAGCTTCAATTGACTCATGATCTCAACCATTAAAATTACTTTAATATCCACAAAACCCTTTTCCATATATATATGTATATATACTGTTATAACTTGTCGTTTGAATGCTTATTGTCTTGGCTCCTTTAATGCTACATTTTGTATCTGGTCGTCGCTGATTGTTATGTCGGAAATGCATATCACTTATACTCGAAACGAGGTACTTATGCAATTCCCACGACGCGAAAGTAAGAACACAAAGTCTGGTATAAGTGATGACTTATTAACCTGAAACCACGAAGACGACGACGATGATGATTCTAGTAGAAAATACACTCATTTATATATTGATTGTACACCCATTTTGATTAATAATTAGGATGAAATCGCATATATGAAAAACACTTGAAGTTATAACAAATCACATACTGAGTATAGTTCATGTCAATGGAATACAAGAATATTGCATATTATACAGAATAAAATATCATATGAGAAAAGAAAAGAAATACTACACCGAATAATCATCACATTGAATCAGAAAGGTAGTGATCTTGAACAAAACTCATAATGAGTAAAAATCAATCAAAAATGGACTTTTCTTTCCATCATATCATATACAACGAGCTTTAGTTGTTCTTCTGAAGAACTGTGAATACTCCACGACCAAACCATCCAGCTCAGAGAACAAAACTCCACCGAAATCATCCATCTGAACTACAAATCTTCTCCACCATATTAATCATTTATTTCATTTAATTTCTGAGTTTATTCAGTTGATCAAACGTCGTAAGTTAAACAATCCAAAATAAGATATTAAGCGAAATGAAGATTTATTAATCCCATCGTATCCAAAACAAACTTAATCTCAAATAGTATTGTGCAGAAACTATAAACGGTGATTACTTAATCAACGTAATAACCAAAGGCTAATCAACTTCTGAACACCACTTCATAGAATTTTATCTAAGAAGATGAACTACTTTATTAAAAATCAGTAGTAGTGATGTCATAAAGCATTTTGTTTAAAATAGTTGCTCTGTTTAGCGTGTGTTTTATTCACGATGCACTTGTCTCTGTGAAATACCCTTAAAGGCTATGGAAATATCGTCAATTATTGATTAATGTGCATCATTGGTCCACGTTTTTAAAACTTATTTTCATCTAGTCAACTTCACATTCTCAGTTCTTAGTTATTTAAAGCCTATACTAAAACACTGATGAGGCCAAAAGATTTAAACAAACAAAAGAAGTATCAAGAAAATTTCAATGGTTAAGATCACGAGTCAGTTGAAGCTAGACCACCATGGAAAACCTGGAAGCATTGGACGGCCGTTCCCTTGTATTGTGGGACTCCTCAGCAGTGCGTATCCATTGGCTTCAGGATGTATATACTGGAGTTCTAGTGAGAAGTAGTGACTAGTGGAGTTCAACCAGGTCTGTTGTGAGATATTAACTGACTGAAGACAATGGTGGATGTGTCGCTCAATTTTGTGAGTTAGTTGAAGTTAGAAATTAACATGGTTGGATGCCGGCCTGCTCAGTGGTCTAGTTGTTAAGTGCTCGCGTGCGAAACCAGTAGGTCCTGGGTTCGGATCTCGCAGGGAGCGAGGTTGTGGATGCACACTGCTGCGGAGTCCCACAATTGGACGAAACGGCCATCCAGTGCTTTCAGGTTTTCCCTGTTGGTCTAGCTTCAACTGACTCATGATCTTCACCATTGGAATTACTATATAATATCCACAAAACCTGTCTGATTTATCAAGAAAAGTTGTTGCTTTTATTAAGAGTTATGATTAGGGGTCAGGTTTAAAAGACTCTCATCATCCCAGTATCATTTAGTAAAGGGTGGACGTTTCTGGTCATGTGGACCCTCACAATACATGTATCTAACCAGCTTAAATGTAGGGTTGACAGATTTGGTAGATTGTATATTCGCTCTTATAACGTTTATGGAATTCACCACTACTGATTCTAATCCACTAGTTGATAGTTCTTTGATATTTTCAAACTTCGACAAAATAATCTAGATGTAACAGTTGACTGATATCTGGAGAGTACTTTCTGAAAAAATAGTTGGTTGTTATTCCGTTCTGTATTAGTTGTTTGGATCTTCCCATTGATGTTTACGACTGTAATTGATCGGTCCCTTATTGACATCTCTGTTTACAATATGTGTTTGCAATGTGTTTCTTTTTTAATTTTTAACCCTGACACAACTTCCACTAATTAACTTGATAAATAGTAATCATGTGCACGCTATCGATTATCTTTTCGAGATGAATTTCTGAAGTTCTACTGTGATTTCCAGATTTCAACCATGCTGAGAATAAGGACGATAGATTTGATGGGATCAGACGAATTTCATGCCAGATTGTGTATTGACTGAAAATAAATGTAAAGATCATTGAAATATTGTTTGGATTCCTAAAACTAGCCTATTAATTGAGACAAATAAAGTTTCTGAATTTCATCTTATGTACATTTATGATTGTTTACTGATGAAGAGTTTAGAATCAGATCAGATATTATAGCAAATTAATGGTTGAATTCATGAGTCATTTGGAGCTAGAATACCATGGATAACATGACAGCAGTAGTATATATACTAAACGACAAGGATTCGAGTCCCTGAGTGAACATCAACACTGGGATGCAGGTACATCCAGCTGACGAGTCTTAAATAGGACGACACGCGTGTCAAACATAACAGACCCAGTTGAACTCCACTGGTCGCTGCTTTTCACTAGAACTCCAGGAAATACCTATTGAAGCAGGTCACCAGTGAGCATATGTTGATTAGTATTAGAAGGTTAAGCGTTCACGCGCGAGGTCTTGGGTTCGAACCTCGTGAAACTTGATCGTGGATGCGCACTGCTGAGGAGTTCCACAACAGAACAAAGCAGCCGTTTAGTGCTTCCAGCGTTTCCATAGTAGGCTATTTTTGATTGACTCATTATGATCTTCATTATTTTACCCTAATCATACTAATAAATAATGGTATAAAGATGTTGTAGAAATACATCTATTCCCTCCATCCTAATTTTAATAATCATATATAGATATCTTCTTAAAATGATCCTAATTTCATTGATAGATTATTATATGAGTAGAATGATTTGTATATCGATCAATTAGGATGTAAGATGTTTCCATTGGTTAATTCATTTCAATTTATGATCGCTGTCATTGCTGTATGACGTTTAGTCACTAATAATAATAATAGTAACAATAATAATAATAATAATAGTGATAGTGTGTTGCGCGCTACTTATATAGATGTAAGTAGTATATGACGCGAGTTCAAAACAAAATGTCTGGCAGCAGAAGATGGGCGAATATCAAGAAAGACAGAGCGGAAACACAATGCAATTTGTAAGAAAACGCCTGAAAAATGAAATGTGAGACAATAGATTGATAATTGCAACAGGAACACTCCGGTTTGATATGATGGATAGATATTTCGCTAAGTAACGATTTACTATATGGTTTTTCTATTTTACCAAGTAACTCTATTCTTTTGTGCCTAAAACAATTCGATTGTCCACACCGGTCTTCTATTCACTACAATAGTAATAATAGTAATACGCACATATGCATATAGACGACAGTTGTTTACGGATTTTTGTTTTCTTTTTTCTCTCTTTCGATTATTCCAATATCCTGTGTACGTTCTCTTTCTTGCTCATTAAGTCATTCATTCATTCATTCATTCATTCATTCATTTGATTGTTCATTGTTTTTCTGACATACATAATACACATTCAATAGAATGAAATTAAGTGATAATAGTTTTTTTGTTTCATTCATAATTTCGTTGGTAAAAACTATTTTGATGGTGTTTTCTTCACTGAGCTGGATAGTTTGATCATGGAGCTGTCATCGGTCTTCTGAACATCATCATCATCAGCACAATCTTTAGGTAGAAGTGAATTGTTCGAATTTCTTCACATGTGATTCAAGACTTGTCCTATACACCTCGATGCTGATTGGTTCTTTTGACCTTAAACCTGTCATTGTTTACTTTTTTATTTTGATTATATCTTCGATTGGTTGGATTTTTGTTCCTATGTTTGTACACACATCTGAGATACCAATCTCCTCCACCACCTGCTACTCCTCATGAAGGAGCATAATCCATCCAACTCTGTCCTGGAAGATCCTTTCCAGTTGTTCCCAGTTGTTATTCATCCTTTTGATATCTGCTTCTATTTCCCAACGTAATAGGTTATTTGGCCTTCCTACTTTCCGCTTCCATTCAGGATTTCCAAGTTAGGGCTTGCCTCATGATGCAGTTTGATGATTTCTTCAATGTATGTCCTATCCATTAGAAAAAGATTGTGTAGGATAGCGTTTGATGGAGAGTACTGTTAGGCGTCCTATGCTCCTCCATATGGGATAACAAGTATAAGTAAATAGTGAGTTACAAATCTTCTCCACTATCTTAAAACCATTTAGTCGTCAAAGAATTTTCAATCAAATGTCTAGTGAATTGATTAACTGATTATATTTACCAATAAAATCTATTCGTTAATTTGACTATCATTTTATACATAAACTATATCCAACCATCAATTTAGGAAAATAGATTTTAACTCTTTGACCAATCATGAAAACTATGGCAAAACAAATCAGACCTAAATTTTAGTTGTCCCTTAGATGATGAACACGCTGAGGTATGTACGTCCGTAAGGTATGTCAGTCTGTTACAGATCCACACATATTTATCCATCCATCGATCTATATATCTGTGGGAAATACAAGCATTGGTTTTTATTAGATGTTCATATAGAGTCAACTATTATAGGTTCTATTTACCAGATCTATATCTATATTCAGGCATAATGTTTATAAACAAAACAGTGAACCCAGTATTATTAGGATACATATATCCCTATATCTATATAGAATGTTCTACTTCAAAATGGATAGATATAACACATTATAACTGATAAACTATCGACAATATCCTCATCATCATCATCAGTATTATTCTTGTTTCTACATAGATGTAAATAGATCTTTTCTTTTCTTCTTTCTTTTTGAGGGGGGCTGGGTTGGTGAGTGTAACTTTTTTTCTCTTCTTAAATGATTCCATCATCGAATTGGAAAACAACAAAATGAGTATGATCCAACATTTCCATAAAAGATCCGATTTGATTAGGATCATTCTATCGATTATAATGATTTGGTGTATGATTATGTTAATGGATTTATCCAATGGTCATTTACTGATAAAAGAAGAAAAAATTTTACGGAAATTAGTCAATTTGATTCATGCCACAACAACAAATGATTTCAATCTATGTACAATTCATTCACGTCAATTACAATATTTATTATATACTACTTATAATACTACTACTACTACTACTCATTATAATGATATTCCATCAACAGCAGGAGCAGGAACAGGAGCGTCGTCAGCATCCTCAGCAGAAGGATCAGGATCATCAACAATGATTAATTTAAATGAAACATTTTATCCAATATTTCATCATTTAATCACACAAAACTCTTTAACACAAAATTTCTTACATGATATATATAGATCTATACAGATTATGGGAAATTTCAATCAGTGGCATAGCAACAACCACTATCACGACAACTACAACCCCAACAATCATGATACCAGGAAACAATTAGAAGTCTATTTATTTCATTTATTACAATTAAATCAACCAATTGAATTTTATAATATGAAATTATTCAATAATTTCATCACTATGAATGATGATTATGATCAAAAATCCAATTTAATTGGTATTGGTTATTGTTTCAATGGGATATTAATGGCTTATGTCAATAATCATACTACTACTAATACTAATAGTAGTATTAGTAGTAGTACTAGTGATTCCTCTGATCGTAATTCTATATGTAGTCAATTTCTATTGAATGTACAATTATTTGATGATAATAATAATGAGACTATACAGTTTAATGATTATAAATATGGAGAATTTTCATCCTTTTGGGCACCAATTCAATGTGAATCGAATTCAATCATACCAATAGTTTTACGATATTTTATTTATACAAAAGAAAAAAGGTAAGTCTAGGAGTAAAGTGTGTTACGCCGGTTACTCATAATGGAGTATCGACCGCTGACCAGCATTCTCCAATTCACTCAGTTCTCGGCATTCCTTCCTAGTTCTATCCAATTTTCGTTCAATTTTCTCATATTTGTCTCCATTTCTCGGCATAATGTGTTCTTTGGTCTTCCTCTTCTCCTCCTTCGGCATTAAGGATTCCATGTGAGGGCTTGTCATGTGATACAGTTGTGTGCTTTCCTCAATGTGTATCCTATCCACTTCCTGCGTTTGAAGCGAACGGCACCGGATTCGAGTACAGGTACATCCAGCTGATGACTCCCAAACAGGATGAAACGCGCGTCAAACTGGATTCCATTGCTAGCCACCATCCATCTTTGCTTAATAAGCGAACTTGTTAGCACATTGATGTGTATTATTTTGTCATGTTTTTTCGGTTATCCCACTAACAGTTTATTCACTGATACTGTTACTGAATTCATCATGATGTCCATAGTGAACACATAAATTCTCATATTGTCAAATCTCCAGTCACAATATTTAATAGTCACCTAGGTCACTAATATTTCTATTTTTAGACCCATATGTTTTGCGGTTACATATATAAAAAATGAGACCACAAAGATACGATCAATAGTGGTAGTGGAATTTGTAGTGTAACTACGAGGTTTAATGGTCCAATAGTTAGTCACCATGGATTAGTCTGTGAAACCAATTAATGTCAGACAACTTCTCCTCATTTAGTGATCTCAATAGAAACTCAATGGATAGAATTTATTGGCAGAGAGAGCTTTAATTATTGATTGACTTGTTCTGTCAGTCTATTGTTTGAATATCATAGTTGAATATCATACTGAACAATCTAAGAATCCATTCTGAATATAAGTTTGGTGAATACATAAGTCACTTATGAATTGTCATGAAGAATTGACTGACCATAAATATACTGCGTACTTTTCTTTTAAGCCCAAAGATTGTGTTCTTCACAAAATTTCTGAATTTATTAGGTATGCAAAGATAGTTTGTAGTAAGTCCCTGACTTAAAGTTGCTACTGGTTGACGTCAGCAAGATATACTTATAATCTTAGACGAAACTGATGTCGTCTGTGAAATCTAATAGAAGTCAATCAGTTCCACAATTAGAAATGATATGAACAAGTTATTTGGGTTGTGGCAGATCTTCTGTACAACTTAGATGTTGACACTAATTTATAGCTGAATAATATCTGAAGTTGCAAAAATAAGCCCGAGGGTCTTGACTCAGTCACCGTACTCGCCGCACGGCCTGAAGTTTCTAAATGAAATCCCCGATTAAGTCTTAAGTGTACACTACCTCAGAGTTTTAAACTAGAATCAAATATTGATGCCGTTCTTTCTGGATCTTCCTTTTACAGTCAATTTATCATAAAAATTATCTTAAAATAATTGAACGATAACAATAATGGTAACAACAAAGTCACATACTACGAAGTAACTAAAAATTCTACTACTATGATGTGTGCTACTGATGTCAACAGATATAAGTAGTATGTAACACCAATCGAAAGTGGAAAGCCTAGCGTCAGAAAGTTGAGAAAATCGAAGAGAAGCAAACAAGAACAGAGAATGATTGGTATAGAAAACATTAGATACAAATAACTAAGTTCTACAGGAATAGATTAGCTAAAATTTCCCTCAATTGGTAGGACATAAAGACTATAGAAAATTGGAACAAATGCTATTTAGATTGATCTTAATTGATGCGATTACTAGACATGTAAGAGTAATAGTCCTATGTTCGCATAATCCGACTGTTAGCAGTTTCCTCATCATCTTAGAACCATCTTACTGAATCTGAATCCTAGCCAACTTATTGTATAATCGATCATAAAATTAAATCTGTTCATTAACAAGCATTATTTTATATTTTCCATAACACCTAAATCAAAGTTAAACACCTGAAACATCAAAGGTCCGTTTATTTCGATAATTCACTTCATAATTTCGGTTTGTTGTAATTCACTGATTATGTCCACTAATCTCATATTCTTAGGCGCTTTAATAAAATGTTGACAACCTATCTCGAATTTGATTATTGAAAGATTAAGGAAACATCACTAGGACAGTTCGTGTACGTTCCTCCTCTTTTGTCCTCAAAAAAGGGACTAAAATATGCATCAAACACATTTTGCAATGAAAAGAGAGATCATGAGAACAAGACCGATGGTGGCCCCAAATGCCCTGATACGGTCAAGAGTGCGGAGTGTCAACTCTCCATCTCGAAATCCTCTCACATGGTTACGTGCATACAACCACTACCACAAAAGTCCTATTCATTACCTCCTTGCGGCACTACTGTTGTTCATCAAATTGAGAGGACGAAAAGCAAATGTACGGCACCTGAACTGGGTTAGTGGACACAGAGAGTCCACCTATAGGAGTCGCAAAACCCTGATTCCAAACCAATGGTGCACATGCACTCTAGGATCCTGAGGGAACAAATAGCGTATGAACCAATCGTTGGTCACTGGCTACCATGGGATTGCATCTCCTGACGTTGTTCCACTCCCTTGTGGATCAGACCTATGTGTCGAAGGCTTGGTTTGTGGCCACCTAAGAAAACCATCTTCTTCGGTCTGGGCACCTGGGCAGTATCACAGCTTACACACAAACCAAGTGACTTGTGTAGCGCATATGTATTCGGTACCCCATTGTACCGATATTAATGTGTTCAAATAAAGAAATAAGTTTTAAATATATGAGGTTATGAGTTTGCATCGACCGAGATGTTTGCGCCACGTGTTAAGTATGTCTGAACAACGATTATCACGACGCACAATGCTGAATAGTGTTGAAGACGGTTGGAAGAATGTTAGGGGCTGCTAAACCAAAACGTGACATCAGTCTATGAAGTCACTAACTTCTAGTCTGAGCCATGTTGGTAGATGCAGACTACTTGGTTGGGATGCACGTGACTATCGTAACCAATAGTTGGAGACTGTGGGTGACATGGTTGACAATCGATCACAATGGCTTGGGTGTATACACGCTCTGTCTTTCCTTAAACCGTGAGATTAAAATCGCTTCATATCTTTCTTTCTATGAACTAATTCTTTCTTCATGTACTATATCCTTATATGCAATCTTTCTTTTATATGTCACCACCATTGAATTTACTACTTCTATGAGTTTGGTATTCATCTTGTTGTGGTAATGCGGTATGGCAACTTGGACCGATGTATATATGTGCCTGGTCCTACACTGTAGCTGACTGACTGACTGATTTTAATCCAAGTTTTAAACAACCAATTAAAATCTAATTGATAAATCCATCATAACTTTAAATAATGATTATAGACTTCAGGTTCGAAAAATTGGTCATTATAGATTGAACGTAATTCATACTGTGTATACTTATGTCAGATAATTTAGTTTCCTTCATTTTGTCCGATCACTAGACAGCCGTTTCGTCCTATTTTGGAACTCCTCAACAGTGTGCAGCCACGACCTTACCCCCTTCATTTTGTCAGATTGTTTTATCACTCTTATATTTAGTCTTTTATTACTATTGAGGGTAATTTTATTTTATCTTAATTTTCTTCATCAATTTCATGATATCGATGCCAATATCAATTTCAATCCATATTGGATGGTCCGTATTTGTCGTTAACCCTGTATTGTTTATATCTATCGATCTATCTAACTATCCCCTTATTTATCTATATTTATCCGTTATAATAATTGACTGAGATCAGAAGCTTAAATAGCCTAGATTCATAGGAAATAAAACTATAGTGAAATAGTGTATATTTTAATAAAGTTTCATTTACTGAGCTTAGAGAAGTTAATGTATACAGAGAAGAATCATTTTCAAAGCAAATCTAATCATGTATGTATATAATACTGATGGATATAATATGAGTTTTATAATATAAGGAATTTGTTTTACATCACATGTATGTTATATATATGGGGTACAATCAAGTTTGATTGAATTAGAAGATAAATTCAGATGGTAGAGAAGATTTATAGCTCAGGTGGATAATTTTTGATGAAGTTTTGTTCTCTGAGCTGGATATTTTCGTCGTGGAGCTTTCATCATTCTTCTGAATGATATCATTAGTACAAACTTCAGATGGAACCAAAACCATCCAGCTCAGAGATCAAAACTCCATCTAGAAAGATAAACTTTTGTTTTTTGAAGTTTGAAATACACAAAATAAATAAATAAATATTGTGAATAAACAAAGTCAAAATGTAAATTTGATGTTATAAGGGTATTTAGATTGTCGTATGCCTTGATGGCAATGGCTATGAAATATGACCGGCAAGAGAAGAGGATATTCGTAGGTTACTAGTATTTGATCATAGGTGTCTTCTAAGCATTACTGGTATATCCTGGGACTACCGAGTAAGTAATGAAATTGTTAGGAAACGGGTACTGGGTAAGGATAGCAAATCAATTAATGAACTATTGGAACTTTATTAGTTGAGATGGCTGGGACATGTGATACGTATGACCAACCACACACTGCTCAGACGAGCGATGTTTTATGGTGTAGGATTAGTTTGCAAGAAAGCTAGAGGCGTCAGACCAAAACATTGGCATAAATCCATAAAGTCACTGACAAGTGAAGTCAGTGGGCCATGTCTGTAAGTGTAGACTACCTGGTTGTGATCTGCGAGGTGATAGCAAGCAATAGTTAGATACCTTGAATGCCATGGCCGAAAATCGTAATGGAGCAAGTGCATCCACTCGTTGTGTTCTCCCAAATTCTAATCTGAATTCTTCATGTCCCTTTCTTTTTCCTCTTTCCAAATGTATTTCACTGGATTATACTCTTTGAATAACATGTTCGAACCCTAGTGTTTTCGATGACTACTTATACTTTTACTACTTCTACCACTGTGGTTTTGAATCGACAATTGTATCACTGTGCTAATATGGTATGGCAACTTGAACCGATGTACATACGTCCGTACAAAGTTCTACGTTGTTACTGACTGACTGAATCATGCATTTACGCTTTATGATATTTATATAAGAAAACTAAAGGTTAAACTAGACAAAATGGAACATACGAAACCAACAAGATAGTATAGAACAACGATACGAAATATACCACTCTAAATATTAAAATTAGCTGGGTATTATTATAGTGGATTTGTTGTAAGTACATAGTGTTTTTTAACATACAGGCTAGACGAAGTTTATCAGAATTATGTGATATATTTACGCAATACATCGAGAACAATCTGATCACACCTAATATACTTGTTAAGAACATTTATATGGGAACACATAGCAAAATGATTGCAGAAACAAATGGATTCCAATGGTCAAATAAGATCAGACGATAGACAGACATCATCCTCCATTGCGAAACATTTGATTAAGACTGGTTATAAGGTTGACATCAAGTCACTATTTGTAGTGTTATACAAAAGCCTTCAAGGACGTATACTAAGGTTTATTGAAGCCTTGGCTATATGGAAATTGAAACCTTCTTTATGTGTTCAAAAACAATTTGTCCTTACACTTAACCTCCCCTGGTAATACTGATTTATTATCAAGAGTGATAATCACATGTGTTTTTGTGTACTTTAATATTTTCTCCCTTTGTTAAGGGTTACCTTTAACCTGTCTAATTGACCTTTTAATTTTCATATATAAATGTTCTTAACAAGTATATAAGGTGTGATCAGATCAAAGGGACTAATTGTTTTAAACACAGACTGGAGTTTGTTATGAAATGTGGCTAACTAAACATGATTACCTTAAACTATCTGACTTTCTTAGTAATGTACTAGTGTAGTAAACGAGTACTTAGTTGGAGTAATTTAATCTACTGATTAGTGCAGAACTATATAGTGCTTTCGTAATCACAATTGATTGATCACTAGGTGATGATCAATGTCATGTGTGTCAAGTCCTTATGCTATCGACCACGTGCTTTCGTAAAATACGAAAGTCATATATTAAGTACATTGTTTGCACATCTTCCTTCAGTTATCCTGTACATACTTCTTCATTCTTCCAATTCAGTTTTTATTCCTATTCCTCTCTGTTTCCTTTTCTCTGTCCTTTATCTCAATCTTCAGCTGGCAGACATTCTACATCTTATTGCTGCTACATACTACTTATATCTGTCAGCATAAACAGTATACACCATACTAGTATGTGTTAAAGTTGAATGAAAAAGCTTACAGAAACTGTACAGTTTAAAGATAGTTCTTTTTCCTCATAGATTACAAAGTAATCAGTAACGAAATGCCGTTTCGTCTGTGCATGAAATCTTCAGCAGCACAAACTCATGACGTTGTCATAGATCGATTCTAGAACATTTTAGACTACCTTACAAATATGTTATTCACTTTAGATCATTGAATTGTTTGTTATCCAGTGTAATATATTGATAACTTCAATAAACTTGGGTCATATTATCATTCTGTTCATCAGTTTATCAGTTGAAATTAGTTTCCAATATAAATCATTTTCAAATAGATAATAAGTAGTATGATAATTTGCAAATAATTTATTTTCTTGAATTCTTTTTCAGTTTATTTTTCGAATTTGATTTGAAGGATTATACCATTGATCAATGTGCTTTGAATATAAATCGATGTGGAGCAACAACTCGAGTAAGTTGATAGAGATTGTCAACTTTTATTCTCAATTTACTAAAAATTTCATTGCTTTATTTCTTAGAAAATTTGTAGTAGTAGTAGTAGTAGTAGAGTATTAGTAGTAGTATTAGTAGTATTAGTAGTAGTATTAGTAGTAGTATTAGTAGTAGTATTAGTAGTAGTATTAGTAGTAGTATTAGTAGTAGTATTAGTAGTAGTATTAGTAGTAGTATTAGTATATTTGTAGTTACTTTCTTTCGCCTGTTACTCGCAATTGAGCAGAGGCGGCTGACCATCATTCTCCAACCCAATCTGTCCTGGGCCTTTCATTCTAGTTTTATCCAATTTTCGTTTATTTTTCTCATGTCTGTCTTCATTTCTCGGGGTAACGTGCTCTGTAATCTTCCTCTTTTACTTTGACCTTCAGGATTCCATGTGAGGTCTTGTCTTGTGACGCAGTTGGGTGTTTTCCTCAATGTGTGTCCTATCCACTTTCAGCACTTCTTCCTAATTTCTTCCTCCGCTGGGATCTGGTTTGTTCTCTTCTATAGTAGGTTGTTTGTGATAGTGTTTGGTCAACGGATCCGACGTATTTTGTGCGGACGACTGTTAATAAACATCTGAATCTTCTGGATGATGGCTTTCGTAGTTCTCCAAGTTTCTGCCCCATACAGTAGAACTGCTTTGACATTTGTATTGGAAATCCTGACTTTGGTGTTGGTTGACAGTTGCTTTGAGTTCCAGATGCTCCTCAGTTGTAAATATGCTGCTCTTGCTTTGCCGATCCGCGCCTTCACATCTGCATCAGATCCATCATGTTCATCAATGATGCTACCCAAATATGTAAATGTTTTTACATCTTCCAAATCTTCTCCGTCAATTGTGATTGGATTGGTGCATGCTGTGTTGTATCAGCGAATCCTGCTTTTCCCTTTGTGTATATTGAGACCTACTGCTGCTGAGGCTGCTGTCACACTGTTCGTCTTCTCCTGTATTTTTTGTTGCGTTTGGGATAGAAGGGCCAGATCATCTGCGAAGTCTAGATCGTCCAACTGCATCCTAGATGTCCATTGTCTCCCGCGCTTCCCTTCAGATGTTGACGTCTTCATGATCCAGTCGATCACCAGGAGAAAGAGAAAGGGTGAGAGTAAACAACGATGAATATTTGTGTAAGTTATCAAATACTATAAAGTTAGGACAACATTCAATAATAATAAACTTTCAAATAGAAATGAACCATTTTCTTTTTTAATATACTTTTATCATATTTAATTGTTAAATCTAATTCAAATAATCATAGATAACTTATCAGATGAATACTGATATGTATATTTAATGTGTATTGTATCATGGATAGCTCAATGATTTGATGGATCCATTTCGATCAAGGTCATTAGTTATAGACGGTTCAACTAATATGACTATCGATAATAATTTATCATAAAAATCAACAAATGCTACTACAGATACCATCTTCTTAGATAAGTCTATTGAAATTACTTTATTCTAATTGGTGATTTAAATGATCCAAACAAAACACAGCGTTCATACATAAATTATAATATTCAATTATTATTATTACACTAAATAGCATTTCTTTTCTTTTACTCTTATAATCATGACAAATAAATTGAATGTTAAGTAAGTAGTATATTTTAATCAAAATAAATTTATTAATTTAATAGTTGAATTCATAAGTCAATTGAAATTGAACTATGATGGCAAACCTGGAAACATTGAGCGGTTGTTTCGTCCTAGTAGGAGACACCTCAACAGTGCACATTGACAATCCCGACTCGCGAGATTTGAATCCAGGAGCTGTCGGTCTCGTCCACGAGCGCTCAACCACTAGCATATAGAGCCGGTATACAACGGTGTTAATATTTAACCTTCTCTCATTTTAATCATCATATGCTCATTAGTGACGGTCTCCACAACGTATTTCCAGGAGTTGTAGTGAGAAGCCATGATCAGTGGAATTCAACCAGACCTGTTGTGAGATAATAACTCACTGAAAACAATAGTGGATGTGTCTCTCAATTTCGTGGATAGATTGAAGTTAGACATGAACACTGTTGAATGCTGGCTTAGTGGTCTATTGGTTAAGCGTTCACGCCCGCGATTGATATGTCCTGGGTTCGAATCTCGTGAGGTGGAGTCGTGGATACACACCATTGAGGAATCCTATACTAGGACGAAATGGACATCCGGTGTTTCCACCTTTTTGCACGCTGATCTAACTTCAATTAATTCATGAATTCATCCAATAAATTCCCGTATTATCCTCAAAAATCCTTCTCTGATTATAATTCAATTGATATTTGTTTATATATTTTCTTATAGATCTATTATCATTCATCTACAATCATATTTCATCATTTGCTCCTATTTTATTGGATTATTATCATTAATAATAAACTCTTCAATAAATCAATTAGTTACTGGGCTATCAATTAATTATACCTTTGAAAATGATTCCTTTAAACAAGTAATAAATAATCAATAAATAATCGATAATGTTTTTTCCTATAAAAAAAATTTTTTAGTTAAAACATTCTCATTATCTACAACTGATACAATTCAATCAATCGAATTCAATTCAATTAATGAATAGTGAAAAAATTCTATTAACATCAGATATACCATTGGTGAATTGTGCTTTATATAATGATGAATTCAATACAGCATTTAGATACCATGTTTCCAATTAAATTTTATGGTGAATATTATAAAACAGTTAGAATATTATCAAACGGTTAGTAACATCAGTTTATTTCCTGGGTTGGGGGGGGTTGAGGTGGGATGGGGTGGATTATATGTTTTGTTTCATTATCATTGTGTTAACTGTTTATTCATTGAATTTATTTCATGTTTAGTTAAGAATGTGATATAATTAAATGGATTCTATAAATGAATTTCATTGAATGTAACGAAGATCCATCTCTTTTCTATTTATACATTAAGACTGATACTTATATGTATTACAGAGAAAATATTCATCTTATAATATGTAAAGAGTTTGAATTATATTTTTTCTTATTATGAAATCATACGATGACGCAATTTTGTGGATTGGTTAAAGTTAGACATTAACTCTGTTGAATGCCAGCTGGCTCAGTGGTCTAATGGTTAAGCGTTCACGCGCGAGACTGCTAGGTACTGAGTTCGACTCTCGTGAAGTGTGGTCGTGGATGTACACTATTGAGGAGTCCTATAATAGGACGAAACGGCAACCCAGTGCTTCCAGGTTTTCCATGGTGGTCTAGCATCAATTGATACATGATTTCAACGATTGAAGTTATAATGTATTTTAAATTGAGATTGTACTTATCAGTCAGTGGATTATGAAATCTCTTTAGGGAATGATGACAATATTCTGTTGCTAAATAAAAAATGCTCTTGTAGGCTTGAAATTGTATTCCCAATGTAGTCATTTATAAGGACTGATAGGTCCTGGGTTCGAAACTCGCGGGGCGGATTAATGGTTGTGGAATGCTGAAGAGTCTCATACTGGGATGAAATGGCGGTTCACTGTTTCCAGGTTTTCCATGGCGATCTAGTTTCAATTGACTCATGAATTCGACTAGTGAATTAGATATAAGTCGTTTTGTCATTATCGCTACTCAGTTGATGAGCTAATTATTCATTATGAGTTTTAAGTTTTGGTGATCAGACTTGATTGTTGCAATGTCTATAAACACTATCTAATTATATATGATACTAAATACAATCTCAATGCATAAGCCTATACTTTATTTCTTTTTTTCTATATGAGCCTTGTATTCCTTCAGTAATTCGTTTATACAGAGAATAGATCATATTCGTTTAGACTTATTTATTGTAACAACGATTTGTAAAACCTCCTTAACCAAAAGTCGTTTTATAATATAAATTATCACATAAACATCTGAGAATAACTGAATATTCGATATTATGAACAGCTTAGATCTAACAACCAGATAAGTACTTATATATATATGTATTGCGAATCATAAGATTCTTCTACAGTTTTGATAGAATTTTGTTCTCTGAACTGGATGGTTTGATCGTGGAGCTTTCATCGTTCCATCCAGCTCATAGAACAAAACTCCATCAAAATCACTCACTTTAGTTAAAAATCGCCTCTCCACCATTCTTTTATGGTATGGGGTTACCGGCTCTCATACACAACCCTCCTCTTTTACCTTGGTTTAAGACTGACAGTAACTTTAGAAGAGCTATAGACTGAGTTATATTCACCTAGTATTCATTGTTACTTATTACTTACAAATAATTCTTCTCAAATATTCAATGAAACGTTTTATAAATTAAAATGTCTTAAGCATTCAAACGGATCTAACCAAATGAAATTTGCTTAATTAATAAAACGTGCCACCAGATGACTTGTCAACTTATAAAGTTAGAGAAATACCTTCATTATTATTATTATTATTTAACATGATTATCATAGTATTTCATAGTGAAAATAGTTTTAGTTAACTTCAAAAACAAAAACAAAACAAACAAACAATGGTGCTAGTGGTAAACTAAACTATTGAATTTATTTGTAACCAGTTGCCAAACGTAGTTGGTATAAACAAAGATGGATATTGGCTAACAGTGGAATCTAGGACGCACGTTTCGTCTTATTTGAGACTCGTCAGCTGGATGTACCTACATCTAAGTCACTATCCATCTTTGCTTATGAAGCTTGGGAAGTAAGGCAATATCGAGGCATACGCACAATATGCACATATGTCAATAACAGACTGATCAATTGCAGTCTTAAATCTAAATGGGAAGATTCAAGCAAAACAATATCAAGTGAATGTAGTTGGTGTAAATTTTAAAATGAATAGTTTTTTCTTACTACATGAAAGCTAATATAACTCTTAGATAGTTGAATCATTTTCAGTTCAATATTAGACTAGCACTGAAAGCATGGAAGCATTGAATGACTGTTTCATCCTAGAATGGGACTTTAAAACAGCGAGCATTTATGATCATACATACAGGAATCGAACTCAGGACCTCTGTTTTGGAACGTGAGAAGTTTAACTCTAAACTAGTGGACCGAAACCCAACGGTGTTAATGTTTAACTCGAATCAGTGCATGACTATGAACAACCATCTTCCATTGTTATCAGTAAGTAACTGCTTGAATGCGCTGTGGAGTCCCACGTTAAGATAAAATGTCCATCCAGCGCTCACAGGTTATCGGTGGTGATTCTTGTTGACCTTTATGAATAAAGATTGAACTAGACTGAAAAAAAGTTGTATGAACTGAAGAACTGATTCATTCAACTATCAGTCTATTCTTAATCAATCGAGTCAGTCTTAAATTCTTGTGCTTCATTAAAATTACGAATCATTATGATAGCTTCCACTGAACTATTTCTAGCACATACAACATTTTGTTAAACCACCATTGTAAACCAGGAAGTATTGGACGGTCGTTTCGTTCTATTGTGGGACTTCTCAGCAGTGCGTATCCACAATCTCGCTCGCGGGATTCGAACCTCTAGAGCCTTCAGTCTCGAGCGCGAGAGCTAAACAACTAGATCACTGAGCCAGCATCCAATGGTGTTAATGTCTAACTTTAACCAATCCACGAAATTACGCGACCATCTTCGATTGTATAGGGGTAGATACCTGTCTCTACCCGACATGGATTATCTATTTCTAACACATACAACACATTTATTAAACATTAGGAATTATTTATTTATTTTGTTTTACATTAATTCAAGGTATTATAAATATTATGGAGTCAAATTTTGGAAAATTATCTGGAAGCATTAAAGTATTTTATGGAGTTTGGAAAACGGGTCAAGTGGATATTATTCATAATGGTGAGTTATTCTACTATTGAAAGTTTAATTCGTTTAGAATAACTTTAGTCATCGGATGTCAGTCAGTCAGTCAGCTACAACGTAGGACAAGGCACATATATGCATCGGTCCAAGTTCCCATACCTCATTAACACAACAAGATGGACACCGGATTCATAGAAGGAGTTAACTCAGTGGTGGTAATATATTAAAGAAAGATTGCATATAAAGACATAGTACAGGAAGAAAGAATTAGTTCGTAGAAAGAAAGTTATGAAGCGATTTTAATCTCTTAGTTTAAGAGAAGACAGAAGTCATTGGATATAATTATTGTTTAATGGAAAACTTTATATATTTTTATACGTAATTGGGGTAAAATGTACGTTTTTTTGGCTTCGAACAGTCATATCCGTAGTAAATAATTAGGAACGATTAAATTTATGAATAAAGTTGTAAAGTTAATCTTCTTAATAGTTGAGATCATGAATCAATCTAAGCTAGACTACCATGTGAAACTTGGAAGCATTGGATAACCGTTTCGTGCTAGTATGGAACTCCTCAACATCGTTCATCCACGATCCTGCCTCGTGAGATTCGAATCCAGGACATGTCAGTCGAGAACATAAACGATTAACCACTAGACCACTAAGTTGGCCATCATCCATCAGTCTTCATGTCTAACTTCAAACAATCCACGAAATTGAACAACACATCCACCATTGTCTTCAGTGAGTTACTATCTCACAACAATTGACTCATGATCTCAACTATTAAAATTACTATAATATCCACAAAACCCCTTCTAATATTAATTTTTTTTTCTTAAATGAATTACTAATAATCCGATTCAATTTTATTGCATTTATAGATAAGTTTCTAACAGTAAGATGGCCTAATCTTAACATTTACAATGCACATGGAAAAGAAATGAAAGAACGTGGTATGTAATATTATTGGGTACACTTTATATATATATATATATATATATATATATATATATATATATATATATATATATATATATATACATGGTGTGTGTGTTATGAGTATGATGTGAAAGCTTCAACCTACTTGACAATTCTTAGCAGGCTTGTCCGAAATGTTGAAGATAATGACAATTAGAATAAATGCTAACCAATTTGACTGTTTAATGTATTGACTAATATCTATATATTTCAATCGAGTCACTTGTGAGATAGTAACTCACTGATGACAATGGTGGATGTGTCGCTCAATTTCGTGGATGAATAGAAGTTGGACATTAACACTGTTGAATGCCGGATCAGTGATCTAGTTGGTTAAGTGCCTGATTTGATACTGATAGGTCCTAGGTTCGGATCTCGCGAGGCGGGTTCTTGGATGAGCACTGCTGAAAAGGAGTCTCACTATAGGAAGAAACGGTCATCCAGTGGTTCCAGGTTTTCCATGGTGGTCTAGCTTCAATTGACTCATGATTTCAACCAGTGAATTTACTACAATCTCCACAAAATCTCTTCTGATATATTTTTCTGTATTGAATAAACCCTTTATATAACTGAAATATTTTACACTGAATAATGACTACCTGAGTAACACTTCAGATCTCATTTTTGTCTAGTTCATATTACCGACTGAATTCTATCAATCAGTTTTATAATTCGGTTACTAGTCTATATGACCGGATAATTGTACGCCAAAATAGTTTAATAAAATATTCTAGAAAATATTTCTATTATATATTCACTTCAGTTATAGGCTAAATAAGTATCATATTGATTTGAATGCTTGGAATGCTCTATTATTATTAATATGACTTGAAAGATTCAAATAGAATATCCATGAAAATAATGAATGGATTGAGAAGATATTAACTATATAATGAACTGATGACTTCCGATTATTGTTATGACATATAACCTAGTAATGATAATGAGAACACAACTAATAAACTTTTAACATTGTCACAGATTGAAATCATGAGTCAGTTGAAGCTAGACCACCATTGAAAACCTGGAAGCACTGGACGGCCGTTTCGTCCTAGTATGGGACTCCTCAGCGGTGCGCACCCACGATCCCTCACCACGCGGGGCTCGAACCCAGGACCTACTGGTTTCGCGCGCGAGCACTTAGCCACTAGACCACTGAGCCGGCATCCAACGGTGTTAATGGTGGTCTAGCTTCAACTGACTCATGATTTCAATCTGTGAAATTTCTAAAATCTCCACAAAACCCATTCTGGTTTAAACATTGTGCCAAATTAATGATTTGTTAACTAAGGATATAAGAAGCCTAGAGTCTTTATTGGTCATGCCCTTACTCATACTCTACCTGTTGAATCCAAAATAGTGATTATCAGCTTCTATTATATGAATCATATAATTCAGACATACTTTGATTATAGACAAGCAAACCTGAATATATCATACTATAATGTAATATAACAATTATAATAGGATCAAGACAAAAAGTGACTATGTATGTGAGATACTGTAACTAATAAATTGGAAATAAGTAAAGAATAGTAAATCGCATAATAGGAGTCAACGGGTCAAATGGAAGCTTATAATAGAAGAAATATGAATATATATGTAATCTAGTTACCGAACAGTGATACAGTAAGAATTTATTTCACTGTATTATACTTCTTGAATAACATCTTCAAGCCCTACTGTTTCCGATTACTGCTTATACTTTTATTACCTCTAGCACTACGGGATTTGAATCGACAACTGCATCTCTGTGCTAATGTGGTGTGACAACTCGAACTGATGTACGTACGTACAAAGTTCTACGTTGTTACTGACTGACAATAAAAATATACATGTATGATAACAGTCCATAAACAGATCCCAAAACTACCCATAATTTAATTTTCGTTAGGATATAACAGTTATCAGTAGTTGTATATTTATCTATTTTGAACACACAGATATTGGTACAAGGGGGCATCAGATACATATGCACCACACAAATCTCATTTGCTTTGTGTAAGGACTGTGCCCAAACCGAAGCAGAGTTATTGGTAGTGATATATCAATTTTTTTATAATTTTTAGCACAAATAACATGCACAATACATGTTAATGGGAACATATCGATTTTCTTTGAAACAGTAAGTTGACTAATTATTGAAATATTCTATTTCCTTTAATAAGAAAATTAGAATCATTTACCATAATTTTCTGCAAAATGTAAGCTTGACAATAACATTGATGTGTGACAGAGAGTTATCAGAATGGGGATTTTAGTAATTTAATAATTGAATTTACGAGTGATCATGGAAGACCTAGAAACACTGAACGACCGTTTGGTCCTGGTGTGGAAATCCTCAGCAGTGCGCATCCACGTTCCCGCTCGCGGGATTCGAACCCAAGACCTATCGGTCTCGTGCGCGAAAGCCTAAACTCTAGACCAGTGAGCCAGTATTCAACAGTGTTAATGTCTAACTTCAATTAATGCACGAAATTGAGCCACTGTCCATCTTTGTCTTTAGTAGGTTACTATCTCACAATAGAGCTGGCTGACCTCCATGGATTACGGCTTCTCACTAGAACTCCTGGAAATACCTCTGCTAAACGTTCAGTATTATTAACTTCACTTGGTATTGTTAATTTGACTCTTCCACCGCTATCCACCATCTATCTTTGCTTATAATGATTGTGATTTAAGGTAATATCGAGGCAGTCCGCACAGGATGCATATATGCTAACGAAAAACTGGTCAAAAGCAGTCCTAAATAACAGTGGAAAGATTCAAGTAAACAATACCAAGTGAATTTGAAACTTCAGTCCCAATACACAAGCAAGTGGCTATCAGGACTCAGTAGCTAAGTAGACAGAGTTTGAAGTAAACGATACTGGGTTCGAGTTGAACAGTGTACATCAACTCTGAGATGCAGGTACATCCAGTTGACGAGTTCCAGGTAGGACGAAACGCGAGTCAAACTGGATTCCACTGCTAACCATTATCCATCATTGCTTAGAAGAATTAAATATAATAATAATTATTGATTAATAGTTATGAATATAATTATAAGTTAGTAGGAAGAATAGAATAAAATTAAAATAATAGATCATATGATATAGAAAAGGAACATGGAAAGAACATGGAAAGTGAGTAACTAAGCATAGTATAATCAGATAGACGTTTTATGGATATTATAATAATTTAGTGGTTAAATTCATGAGTCGATTGAAGCTAGACCACCATGAAGAACCTGGAAGCCCTGTATTGTTATTTCGTTCTAGTATGTGATTCCTCAACAATGCGCAACCACGAGCATAGTATTTTTGTACTAAAAAGTTAGGGTTAAAATGTTGGTTAACAATAACCTCTAATGTACATAAGTTTTTCATGTACATTCCTATTGAGCCAATTCTTCTGATTGTATATAATGATTTTGATGGAGGCTTCTGATGTAGTGAAGTAATACGTTTCACTGGTTGAAATCATCAGTCAATTGAAACTAGACTACCATGGAAAACCTGAAAGCACTGGACGTCCGTTTCGTTTTAGTATAGGACTCCTCCTCAGCAGTGCACATTCACGATCTTGCCCCCTACAAGATTCAAACCCAGGACCTACTGGTTTCGCGCGCAAGCACTTAACCACTAGACCACAACCAATCCATGAAGTAATAAGATGAAAATCATTGTCCTTTTGATCACTATAAACAAAAGAATAATAAAAAGTGTTATAATAATTACCAATTCATAATCCTATGAAGATAATTGTAAAAGTGTAAAAAAAAATGATAAAACAAACAAAAATAATAAACTGTGCAAACAGGTACAATAAATAAAAGAAAAAACAAAAAATTTTTTTTGTTGTTTTGGCAAACTTATAATGAATGTCACTTGCATACTTACTTACCTACGCCTGTTACTCCTAATGAAGTATAGGCTGCCGACCAGCATTCTCCAACCCACTCTATCCTCGGCCTTCTTTTCTAATTCCATAATGAATGTCACTAATGTTTATTTTTGTTTATTTATTTGCTTTTTTATTGCTAAAGGTTAATTAACATCTAATGACATTTATAAACTGTCATTAAAATCAAGAAGCCTAGTTCAATGAATTAAGGTCTTAATGTATCATACGATACTCGTAAGATATAAACAATAATATGTGGAATGTATTAATGAATATAAATTCTTTATAATAAAAAACTGAGTTCATCTCTGTTTATTAATGATTAATTATGTCATAGTTACTGTATTATGTAACTAAGGTGAATTTAACTTAATTGGCATACAAATTTGTCCCATTCATAATTCTTTTCTTTTCTTTTTTTGTTTTGATTTTTATGAAACAATTTTTATCAGTATGAGGTTAAGTTTTTGATTGACATCATGAACTAATTGACGTTAGACCATCATTAAAAACCTGAAAACATTGAGCGGCTATTTCGTCTTCGTCTGGAACCCCTCATCAATGTGCATCCACGATCCCACTCGGCGAGATTGGAACCCAAAGGTCTTCGGTCTCGCGTACTCATTAATGACTAGCTTCGTGAAGGAGTTCTTGGAGTTTTAGTGAGAAGCTGTGATTAGTAGAATTCAACCGAGTCTGTTATGAGATAGTATATCACTGAAGACAATAATGGACGGTGATGCAATTTCGTGGAATGGTTCAAGTTAGACATTAACACCGTTGGATGCTGGCTCAATAGTATCAAGGTTAAGCGAACGCGAGGGAGACTGATAAGTCCTCGGTTCGAATCTCGCGAAACAGGATGGTGGACGTGCATTGCTGAGGAGTTCTATATTAGGACGAAGTGGCCGACAAATGCTTCTAGGTTTACCATGATGGTCTAGCTTAAATCGATTCATGAATCCAACCATAAAAATGAAATGTTCTATACGGTCAGGGTTAAACATATTTCCAATTAACCGTTGTAAAACGCATTATTTTCTATTTGAATGGTTTAAACTAATTTTACTATGTCACTGATCATTCATTTGTGTTAAAATTTTCAGTTATTAATTCATTTCTTATAATTCATTGTTTATATATTGCTATTTATCAGATACCGAGTGGAACATATAATGAAACAGAAGAATCTATGCCTGGAAGTACTATATATTATCCAACGAAAATTCAAAGTAGGTTGAATTTCATATAACAGAATCAATGGATTATTGATGATAATTTTATTCAATCCTTTATGTTAAATCCATTAGAGAACTCTAAGTAGGTGAAATCTGAAAAAGGTTCTTCAAAATCTTTATATTTATATATGTATACAATATCAAAGTGAGGATCTTCAATACGAACGTCAAGGCAGTTCTACTGTACGGAGCTAGAACTTGGAGAACTACAACAACCACCATCAAGAAGGTACAAGTATTTATAAATAGTTGTCTACGCAAGATACTCAACATCCATTGGCCAGATACCATCAGTAACAGCCTTTTGTGGGAGAGAACAAATCAGCTTCCAGCTGAAGAAGAAATTAGAAAAAGACGATGGAAATGGATAGGACATACATTACGCAAATCATCAATCTGCATCACGATGCAAGCCCTGACTTGGAATCCTGATGGGAAGCGGAAAAGAGGAAGGCCAAAGAACACATTACGTCGGATAATAGAAGCAGATATGAAAAGGATGAATAACAACTGGAAGGAGCTAGAAAGGATTACCCAGAACAGGTTTGGATGGAGAATGCTGGTGAGCGACCTATGCTCCTTCTTGAGGAGTAACAGGCTTAAATAAGTAAGTAATAAAAGCTAGAAATCATTTTCGAAGGATTGGAGAATAAAATTTACATGGTAATGTTTAATTGTTGTTTTAGGACTGTAATTGATCAATTTCAGTACTCGTAAGTTACTAGTATTTGATCACAGATGCCTTAGAAATATTGCTTGCGTCTGCTGGGATCACCGGGTAAGTAATAGTGAGATTCGACAAAGGCTATTAGGGAATGATGGTAAATTAATTGATGAGGTTGTAAATCCTCATCGACTGAGATGGTTGAGCCACGTGTTACGTATGCTTGAACACCGATTACCACGACGTGCAATGTTAACCGGTGTTGGAGATGGTTGGAAGAAAGTTAGGGGCTACCAAACCAAGACGTGGCATCAGTGCTTGAAGTCACTAACTGGTAGTCTGAGTCATGTTGGTAGATACTACTAGACTACTTGGTTGGGGTCCGCGTGACTGTCGTAACCAATGGTTTAAGACTCTGTGTGACATGGCTCAGAATTGACCACAATGGCGTTGGTGTACACACTCTCTGTCTTCCCTTAAACTAAGAGATTAAAATCGCTTCATAACTTTCTTTCTACGAACTAATTCTTTCTTCCTGTACTATGTCTTTATATGCAATCTTTCTTTAATATATTACCACCACTGAGTTAACTCCTTCTATGAATCCGGTGTCCATCTTGTTGTGTTAATGAGGTATGGGAACTTGGACCGATGCATATATGTGCCTTGTCCTACGTTGTAGCTGACTGACTGACTGCGTTAGATGATATTTCATAGAATCATTCTTAAATTAATCAAGATCACTCTCATACTTTAGTTCTACCTAATTTTATTTGTATCTTATTATATCAGATGGTATTTTACACGAAATGAAAGACATGACTATGATTACTTTACTTACGCAAACACATCTGTTACTCCTCTTTGGGAAGCATAGGCCGCCTATCAGCACTCTACATTCAAGTCTGTCCTGTACCGACTACCACCAATTTGTTTGTTACACATATGATAGTTGCTAAAAATACCTAGTGATGATATGCAAAGATATAATCAAACTATGAAGATTTAATTATGAATCCTTCACAATTGAATATTCAACTATAAGTTTTAAAGTGATTTACATTTCCTGGTGAATTCCTTCTTTAAACTGTAGTAATTCATATTCAAATTATACTAATGTGCTTCTTTGACTTTTTTTATAGATCATGCCTATTCACCTCATTACAAAAACACTGCGATAAAAGTTCCTGCATTCTTGATAAAGTCGAACACCTTAATGGAATTTATACCAGATCCAAGTAAGTGAAATTAAAACGAATTATTGATTTTTAATTACGTGATTATAGCTTCGTTTTTATCACTAGGTGAACAAAATGTAATTGATTTTCTTACATTCGTTTGAATGTCAATTAAGATTAAGTTTGCATCATTGATGTAAGGATGTATGTAACTCGTAAACGTGCTCCATGGTTTAGTTCTGATTTCTTCATCTTCTTCTTCTTCATATCCCGTTACAATAAATGAATTCTTGTTTCACAATTAATCCATTTAAATATCAAACTGTTAATCTCAACCTGATACATGAATAGTACTTAAGCACCTTGTTGGAATCACATAGACTTTGTATCATTTGAGATTATGTAGTAAAAACAGCATCAAAGGTCTTCTCATATTTTATTGTTATCGAAGAAAATTTTCCGTATGACTTACTCTATAAAACGGCTGCATAATTTTGGGATTATTCGACATTTACCTTAACGATTTGTTTATTCTTGAATATTACCCATTATACTTTACTGTTCTCCATTATCATTTCTCAGGCTTTTCAGATAAGATTTATCTGTATTGTGAAGAGTGCTAAAGGCAGTTAGCAAGGTGTATCGCAATTCTTTTGTGGTCATTAATAATATAGTTGTGGATGGACATCTAAAATCTTGAAAACTGCTAGAAGGTGTTGTCAGATACCAAACCTCAACTTCATTTATGTCTTTCTCCTTGTATATCTTCTAGTAGAACGAGATGTCAATACATTAGAATCCATGCACGCAAGCAAAAGTATAAAACTTCTACAATACTTTATGTTGCAAAGACACTACGTGTAGAACAGGTTGTAAGAGTTGAACTAGACAATAGTCTGTATTCTCAAACATGTTTCTAACTAAAAGTTGTACAGACTTTTGCTTTATTAAAATAACGTTTAATTCTAGACAGCTCATTGACTTACTTCATATACACATATATGTAATCATCGACTATTGGAATCATTTTGGTAAAAGAAATTTGTTGAACTATTGTGTGCCGAAGGTTTCATATCGTGATAAACATTATACTGAAATTTGTTATTAATAATAACCCTAATACCACTACCGTAGGGAACGAGAAAAGCAATGGATTACAGAATTTCTTGGTCAAATCTGAGAACCATACAGTAAATACTTCATTTGTAAAATATTCATCAATTATATCAGAATTTGTTGTTCTTTCGTTTCCGTACCAATTATTCTCTGTTCTCCTTCTCTTCTCGATTTCCTCAACTTTCTGCCTCCAAGCATTCCACTCTCGATTGATGATAAATACTACTTATATCTGTTAACATCAGTAGCACAAACCATACTACTGTTACTGATGGTAGTAATAATAATTATTATTATTACTATTATTATTGTTATTATTATTATTATGAAAAGTAGTTTTGCATGTTATTATTATTATTATTTAAACACATAAACATTGGTACAAGGAGGCACCAAGTAGATATGCGCCACATAAATCATTCGATTTGTGTGAAGGCTGTGATACTGCCCGGGTGCCCAGACCGAAGCAGCTGGTTTTCTTAGGGAGCCACACTCCGAGCCTTCGACCTGAAGGTCTGATCCACAAGGCAGTGGAGCATCGTGAGGAGATGCAGTCCCCTAATATCCGGTGACCAACAATTGGTTCATACGCCATTTGTTCCCTCAGGATACTGGAGCCCATGTGCACCATTGGTTTGGAATCCGGTTAAAGCGCCGAACATTCGCTTTTCTTCCTCTCAATTTCGTAAACAACACCCCCGCCACGAGAAGGCAATGAGTATGACTTCGCTGGCAGAGGCTATATAAGCGTGGCCATGTGAGAGGATTTTGAGAGGGAGAGCGGACTCTCCCCACTCTCGGCCGTACCAGGCCATTCGGGAGCAGTTTTGCATCTAACTGTACATGATCCGAAAACCTTATTGGTACAGAAATGTCAATTATCAACAATACTGTTTATAATTAACTGTGATCACTCTATTTAACATTGTTTTTATTCCATCCATATTTTTACAGTCACATAAATATTGTATCAAATAAGACAGAACCATACTTTTATGAGGTATTCAAATTAGGTTTGGAAAATTTAAGATTTTAATAATGTCAGTAATTGTCTTATAAGTATTGGGTTGTGAAGATTAATGAGTTTAGATTGATACCATGAATGAATCAATGTTAGACCGCCATTGAAAACCTAAAAGCACTGGACCACCGTTTCGTCGTACTATGGGACTCCTCAGCACTGTGCGTACACGGTCCCGCGCACAGTTTTTGAACCCAAGATGTTTGGTCTCGCACGTGAACGCCTAATTAATGATGCTTAAACAATAATAATAATAATGAATAAAAATTACAAATTTGTTGTTATGGTAGTGAGTCAGAGATTGGACAAACAGATTTTAGTAATATCACTTTATCCACAATTTAATCACAAGACAGATCTACTGTACGGAGCGGAAACGTGCAGAACTACCACAACCATTATCAAAACAGTACAAGTATTTATAGACCATTGTCTACACAAGATACTCAATGTCCGTTGACTGGATACCGTCAGCAACAGTTTGCTGTTGTAGAGAACAAACCAGCTTCCATCTGAAGAGGAAATTAAGAAAAGACGTTGGAAGTGGATAGGACACACATTACGGAAATCACTAAACTGCATCACGAGGCAAACGTTAACTTGAAATCATGAAGGAAAACGACAAAGAGGTAGGCCAGTGAACACATGGCGCCGAGAATTGGAAGCAGGTTTGAAAACGATGAATAGGAACTGGAAAGGATTTTTCAGTACAGAGTTGGTTGGAGAATGCTAGTGGGCCACCTATACTCTTTCATGCCGGATAATAGGCGTAAGTATGTAAGTAAGTATTGTCGCTAGGTCCAAAATTATATGATACTTCCACAAGTTTCAATGAGCATAACACACAAATTCACTTCGAAAGCCTCATTTACCATAAAACAAATGGCTTTATCCCTGTATTCAACAAAGTTGAACAACTTAAAACAATCATTGTAAACTGTCACAATCGATGTACCAATACAGGGTCAACTACTAAACGACTATTTCTAAGAATATAAATCTCAACTATTGGATCTATTGAGAAACAATGATATAGTGTTGGGTCATCCAGATAAAGGTGCCGTGATTGTCATCGTGAACCGAACTAACTGTGTTTTGAAAGTATTTTGTATTCTCTCTGATACCAACAAATTCCTTAAAGAAAAAGCCTAAAAAGATGCTTCAAGTCAAAGGGAGCAGAAATTAATAAAAATCCTTTAGGAAGTAAACTACAAATCAGTTACCAATGGAAATCTCAATGAAAAACCTAGACCAACTGGATTCATTATTTCACGACTACATGGCCTACCTAAAGTACATAAGAAAGATATTCCTCTACGTCCTGTATTAGATATGAATAACTCGCCATATCATGCCATCACCAAATAGCTAGCTGGAATTTTTCGATCAGTCAGAAATCAACTAGATAGATACATCACTGGTGATTTGTTTGATGCACTATCAAGTGTTAACGTAACCGGAAAGAAAATGACGTCACTAGATATACCCTCTATTTTTACAAATGTACCACTAACGGAAATAAACTGCCTACTATGTGATTATATTGAAAACAACAGACTCGATATCGGTGTTCTAGTACATTATTTCAAGGAAATACTACTCCGATGCACTCTTGACGTTGAATTTAAATTCGACAATGAGTTCTATAGACAAACTGACGGCATAGCGATAGGGTCACTGCTCGAGCCACTTTTAGCTGACCGTTTTATAGCTTATCTCTAAAACACTATACTAAGGTCATCACTTGACAGCTTCTGTCTATACAGGGATTAATAAGACGACACGTTTGTGACAAAAATATCAATGTCAACGACATCGTGGATGTATTTATTAATTGTCATTAACTAATTAAGTTCACGACTGAATCAGAGTCGGATTCAGATTTCCACTTCTTAAATGTTTTGGTTAAAAGATCTGACGGTTCTCTGCAAAGATCAAAATAGAGAAAGCCAATATGGAATGGTTAATACATGAATTTTCAAAGTTGGGTCCCACTGGAAGAAAAGAGATACCTAATCCATTCTCTCTGTATATGGGTTAAACGTATCTGTACCGAAGATACGATCGATATCGAAATTGATAAACTGACTATCCATCTAGATTCATTGAAAAAAATCTGAAGTCAAAACAACAACGTGAAATAGTATCTACAGCAGCAAAGAAGACTCTCTCCATAAACACCTAGTTTGAAAGTGATACTGCAGCGAAAATTCTGAAAAGTGGACATTCAAGATGTCTAATAAAAACGATTTAGTCACCCTGTAATTCGAAATTGTGCGAAGGTTAAACTCCCACTTTTGGGCGAAATCAACGAGCAGCTTAATAGCTATTTAATGGAAAATTATTCACAACTTACCACTTTTTCACTAGACAATTGGATGATCGCACATTATAAGTAAATGAAATTGGTGAAAAAGAGATTTTATTCACCGAACAGTCTTCTTATTCATTCAGTAGCACAATACTCTATCTCATGTAAAATCGTATAAACAGTTTAATATTAAACTACATATTGTGAATGAATATAATACATATAATACATAGGCGCATAAAACAATGATGATAATAATTAAACTCAATTTAAAAATATTTAAAATAAACAAAAATTAGATAATTATCAACATATGCTCACTAGTGACTGACTTCAAGAGGTATATCCTGGAGTTCTAGTGAGAAGCAGTGATCAGTGGAGTTTAACCAGGTTTGTTGCGAGATGGTAGCTCACTGAAGACAATGGTGGATGTGTTGATCGATTTTGTGGATTAGTTGAAGTTAGACATTAACACCATTGGATGCCTACCGGCTCAGTGGTCTAACAGTTAAGCGCACGAGACTGATAGGTACTCGCGAGACAGGATCATAAATACGCACATCTGAGGAGTCCCACAATGGGAAGAAACGGCCGTCCAGTACTTTCAGGTTTTCTTAGGCAGTCTATCTTCGACTGACTCATGAGCTCAACTATTGAACAGATCAAATGAAATTGAAAAAAATAATAAAAAACAAGAAAAAAAAGAAAATCGAAAAATCCATAAAAAAACAAAAAAAATAATTCACATATAAAACATTATAAGAATTAAAGTTCCATTAAACACCCATTGACAAAGTACCAGTTTAAAAGAACTGCAAGGTCTCGTAAATAGTTCATATAGTTTATATTGACACTATTGTAATAAGTGTTCTCAAAGAAAATCCCTTATCAACACATCTAATTTTTTTCATGTTCAAGTTTGCTCTGATCAAACATCATGCGGTGAATGTCTCAAACCAGGTGCATTCGCTACAAAATGTTATTGGTGTCCAAGAACAAGAAGGTGTACTAATACTCATGATAGTTATGGGAGAATGTGGAAGAAAGGAGAGTGTCAAATACAGGTAAGAGATTCGACTTTTATTCTATTGTACCATTAAGTATTATGTTATTCTTTGAAATTAGTTTCGTCAAATTGTTAGCCTATAATTGGTTCTATTGGAATACGAATAACTTACTGACTCTATAAAATTTTATGTGTCTATACTTTGTATCAGTGTTTATAGAAAATCTTCGTTGTTTCACTTCAATATCCTTTAAAACAAGGAATCTGTGTAACTTTCTCCTTTATAAGGCTAAATTGGTATACCTTTTCACTCAATTTCATCATAGAGATCATTTATATTTCCACAAAACAACCATGTTTGTAATATTTACTGAATAGCTTAGAAATATCAGGAGAAAATGATTGGCGTGCACACAATTCGTGTGATTAAAAAATTGACGGATAAATCTAGGAAGAACTGTACACACATAAAAGTGGACGGAGAGAAAGACACGATTTATCAACTTTAGGTAAACCTCATAGTCGTCGTGTACTCCATCCAGTTGATTTGAGCGAACCATGTAGTTCAGATAAAGAAGTTGACGACATTTAGGTACTTCAAAATGCTTGTAAGCATACTGTGATATCTTGAAACCTGCTGACTAATATCATGTGGCGAGTCACTAATCAGAATGCTAGTTCTAAATTGATCTGTTATCTACTCTATAGATTGGTGTCTCTGACTCGATCTATTGTAAGCCTGACAAGCACTAATGACCTTGACACGTTGATTGCCTTTCTATCGATCCAGCAACTTCCATCACGTTTCTAGACCACATTCTCAGCAAATAAACCACAATCAAGTTATATTTACAATCATTTTCAATCTCCAATTCTCCTTTTGTTCAGCGGTCAGTCTAGAAACATATTCTACAGTTAACAGACATAATAGCATATCATCTATTCAAATTCCACTTACTATCCAGTGAAATAAAAAGCCTTCTAGAAATCTTCACTAAAGTAGTACTCAAACAGGGATTCAATACAGAACATGTAGTGGACACGCTACGTCTCCTCGCAGCTTAAAACATTGCTTACTTTCGCCTGTTACAGCCAATGAGTCATAGGCCGCCAATCAGCATAACCCCAACCACTTTGTCCTGAGACTTACTTTCTAGTTTTATCAAACTCGATAAAAAAACGCTAACCAAAAAAGAAAATAATTCACATTGACAACCATACCAAGTCGTATATTGTTTATTAGCAATGACTCCTTTGAAATGTAAATCATATGGTCACATTGTTTCTTTTTCTAGAATAGTGAAAATTGTACTGTTCAGAACGAAGTTCTAACTACTCCGATCCGAAAAATCATCGGTGTAGCAAAATCCTCCATCAGAAGAAATAAACTTACAAATCTCACACAGAAAATTACAAACAACAATTTATCAGAACATGTACCCAATACGACTACTGTTCAAGTAATTCAAGTTAATAAAACATTGAGTATTCAACTAGGCAATATGTTTTTTATACTTCAACATGTGATTGATAGTTCGTATATAATCTTATGGATGTCAGCGACTGTGTTAATTATTCACCTTATTGCTAGGTTTGAAGCTGTCACGAGTTCGCTTAATCTGCAAACGAGATGCAAGACTCGGTGACCAAAGATCAGTAAGCTAGCTATTGATGTGTCCCAGCCCCGCTAACTAGAGGGAGAAGTCCAAGCTTGGAATGAGAAGTATATTTTGCAAACAGCCAGAAACGAGCGATCACAACAAACACAATTCAAAACGTATATATACAAATATATATATATATATATATATATATATATATATATATATATATATATATATATATATATAATTGATATTGCCATGGAAGTTTTCTAAACATTTAATCGATAAGTTCGTCAATCGGCTATGTGCGTGTGTGGTAATAAATGCCCAAGCATACATCTGCATACAAGCTCCACAAAGATAAAATCACAAAACATGAGTTTTGGGGATCTGTCGTCCCCAACACTCCCCCTTTTTAATAGCGTACTTTCATGCGGTAAACTTGGATCTCGACTGTTGCTCACCGATGTCGGAGAGGCCACCTTCTGAAACGGAGATCAGCTTGTTGTTGAGCTTCTTCTTGTGGTGGGGCTGCTGATAAGTTGAAGGTATCAAGCAGGATGTCAAGGGGAAGATTTACTCTTGTTGATGGGCGGTCTGGAGCTATCCGCCTCCGTAGTTGGTTTCCGTGTCTAGTCCACGTGTCCCTTCCCACCTTTACCTCGTACATAACTTGGCCTATTCTTCCAACCACACGTGCTTCGATCCAAGGACCATGATTCGCTCTGTAGTCTCGAGCAAACACCGGACATCCAGCCTCGTACGCTGGCAGCTTCTGAGATTTGGTCTGAGATGGTGTGGTTCTTGATCACATCAGACTGTGGATTGTCCACAATCTCCTTCCCATCAGGATCTCTGCCGAGGACTTCTGCTGTGATAGCATCATCCTGGTTAGCAAAGTCAAATTTGAATAAGTCTTAGTAACGTCGAAACCACATATCAAACGTGACACTGGATTCCGGATCGCGATGAAACTCGGAGATACTGTTAGCGATACCATCAACTAATGGTGCGGTAGTAGTAGGATTAGAATTACTTGGTTGAGTATTAGACGTAAGCTTTGTATCTGCTAACGTCTAAATAAGTTACATCTGCTGCTCGAGTAATAATTCAAGTTTAGAAGAATCCATGTTTCCGAAACCACATTTACCATCATACCAAGTCGTATATTGTTTATTAGCAATGACTCCTTTGAAATGTAAATCATATGGTCACATTGTTTCTTTTTCTAGAATAGTGAAAATTGTACTGTTCAGAACGAAGTTCTAACTACTCCGATCCGAAAAATCATCGGTGTAGCAAAATCCTCCATCAGAAGAAATAAACTTACAAATCTCACACAGAAAATTACAAACAACAATTTATCAGAACATGTACCCAATACGACTACTGTTCAAGTAATTCAAGTTAATAAAACATTGAGTATTCAACTAGGCAATATGTTTTTTATACTTCAACATGTGATTGATAGTTCGTATATAATCTTATGGATGTCAGCGACTGTGTTAATTATTCACCTTATTGCTAGGTTTGAAGCTGTCACGAGTTCGCTTAATCTGCAAACGAGATGCAAGACTCGGTGACCAAAGATCAGTAAGCTAGCTATTGATGTGTCCCAGCCCCGCTAACTAGAGGGAGAAGTCCAAGCTTGGAATGAGAAGTATATTTTGCAAACAGCCAGAAACGAGCGATCACAACAAACACAATTCAAAACGTATATATACAAATATATATATATATATATATATATATATATATATATATATATATATATATAATTGATATTGCCATGGAAGTTTTCTAAACATTTAATCGATAAGTTCGTCAATCGGCTATGTGCGTGTGTGGTAATAAATGCCCAAGCATACATCTGCATACAAGCTCCACAAAGATAAAATCACAAAACATGAGTTTTGGGGATCTGTCGTCCCCAACACTCCCCCTTTTTAATAGCGTACTTTCATGCGGTAAACTTGGATCTCGACTGTTGCTCACCGATGTCGGAGAGGCCACCTTCTGAAACGGAGATCAGCTTGTTGTTGAGCTTCTTCTTGTGGTGGGGCTGCTGATAAGTTGAAGGTATCAAGCAGGATGTCAAGGGGAAGATTTACTCTTGTTGATGGGCGGTCTGGAGCTATCCGCCTCCGTAGTTGGTTTCCGTGTCTAGTCCACGTGTCCCTTCCCACCTTTACCTCGTACATAACTTGGCCTATTCTTCCAACCACACGTGCTTCGATCCAAGGACCATGATTCGCTCTGTAGTCTCGAGCAAACACCGGACATCCAGCCTCGTACGCTGGCAGCTTCTGAGATTTGGTCTGAGATGGTGTGGTTCTTGATCACATCAGACTGTGGATTGTCCACAATCTCCTTCCCATCAGGATCTCTGCCGAGGACTTCTGCTGTGATAGCATCATCCTGGTTAGCAAAGTCAAATTTGAATAAGTCTTAGTAACGTCGAAACCACATATCAAACGTGACACTGGATTCCGGATCGCGATGAAACTCGGAGATACTGTTAGCGATACCATCAACTAATGGTGCGGTAGTAGTAGGATTAGAATTACTTGGTTGAGTATTAGACGTAAGCTTTGTATCTGCTAACGTCTAAATAAGTTTCATCTGCTGCTCGAGTAATAATTCAAGTTTAGAAGAATCCATGTTTCCGAAACCACATTTACCACCATACCAAGTCGTATATTGTTTATTAGCAATGACTCCTTTGAAATGTAAATCATATGGTCACATTGTTTCTTTTTCTAGAATAGTGAAAATTGTACTGTTCAGAACGAAGTTCTAACTACTCCGATCCGAAAAATCATCGGTGTAGCAAAATCCTCCATCAGAAGAAATAAACTTACAAATCTCACACAGAAAATTACAAACAACAATTTATCAGAACATGTACCCAATACGACTACTGTTCAAGTAATTCAAGTTAATAAAACATTGAGTATTCAACTAGGCAATATGTTTTTTATACTTCAACATGTGATTGATAGTTCGTATATAATCTTATGGATGTCAGCGACTGTGTTAATTATTCACCTTATTGCTAGGTTTGAAGCTGTCACGAGTTCGCTTAATCTGCAAACGAGATGCAAGACTCGGTGACCAAAGATCAGTAAGCTAGCTATTGATGTGTCCCAGCCCCGCTAACTAGAGGGAGAAGTCCAAGCTTGGAATGAGAAGTATATTTTGCAAACAGCCAGAAACGAGCGATCACAACAAACACAATTCAAAACGTATATATACAAATATATATATATATATATATATATATATATATATATATATATATATATATATATATATATATAATTGATATTGCCATGGAAGTTTTCTAAACATTTAATCGATAAGTTCGTCAATCGGCTATGTGCGTGTGTGGTAATAAATGCCCAAGCATACATCTGCATACAAGCTCCACAAAGATAAAATCACAAAACATGAGTTTTGGGGATCTGTCGTCCCCAACACTCCCCCTTTTTAATAGCGTACTTTCATGCGGTAAACTTGGATCTCGACTGTTGCTCACCGATGTCGGAGAGGCCACCTTCTGAAACGGAGATCAGCTTGTTGTTGAGCTTCTTCTTGTGGTGGGGCTGCTGATAAGTTGAAGGTATCAAGCAGGATGTCAAGGGGAAGATTTACTCTTGTTGATGGGCGGTCTGGAGCTATCCGCCTCCGTAGTTGGTTTCCGTGTCTAGTCCACGTGTCCCTTCCCACCTTTACCTCGTACATAACTTGGCCTATTCTTCCAACCACACGTGCTTCGATCCAAGGACCATGATTCGCTCTGTAGTCTCGAGCAAACACCGGACATCCAGCCTCGTACGCTGGCAGCTTCTGAGATTTGGTCTGAGATGGTGTGGTTCTTGATCACATCAGACTGTGGATTGTCCACAATCTCCTTCCCATCAGGATCTCTGCCGAGGACTTCTGCTGTGATAGCATCATCCTGGTTAGCAAAGTCAAATTTGAATAAGTCTTAGTAACGTCGAAACCACATATCAAACGTGACACTGGATTCCGGATCGCGATGAAACTCGGAGATACTGTTAGCGATACCATCAACTAATGGTGCGGTAGTAGTAGGATTAGAATTACTTGGTTGAGTATTAGACGTAAGCTTTGTATCTGCTAACGTCTAAATAAGTTTCATCTGCTGCTCGAGTAATAATTCAAGTTTAGAAGAATCCATGTTTCCGAAACCACATTTACCACCATACCAAGTCGTATATTGTTTATTAGCAATGACTCCTTTGAAATGTAAATCATATGGTCACATTGTTTCTTTTTCTAGAATAGTGAAAATTGTACTGTTCAGAACGAAGTTCTAACTACTCCGATCCGAAAAATCATCGGTGTAGCAAAATCCTCCATCAGAAGAAATAAACTTACAAATCTCACACAGAAAATTACAAACAACAATTTATCAGAACATGTACCCAATACGACTACTGTTCAAGTAATTCAAATTAATAAAACATTGAGTATTCAACTAGGCAATATGTTTTTTATACTTCAACATGTGATTGATAGTTCGTATATAATCTTATGGATGTTAGCGACTGTATTCATTATTCACTTTATTATCCTTTTCAATATATTATGTAATCTATTATAACTTTCTTACTTCTTATCAATGATTTCTTTGTGATCACTTTATTTTATTTAGATATTATTATTCTTCTTTATTCACTTATCCACTGTATATTCTGAGAGGTTTTATGTTTCTTGGGAAATGTTCATGTTCATTTTTTGATTTGTACATACATGATTATTATTAAACAGGATTTGGATAGATTTTCATCAGAATAGTGAATGAATGACAAAATGATGTAAAGACAGATGGCAAAACTAAATGACAGCATATTCAAACGTTTTATGAAATATTTATAAAGATAACTGTTAAATTTTCCACAATATATTAAATTGTTGTTGTGTACCGATAAGAATAATGAGTAGTCATTTTCTGGGATCTATTTATGGACCAATATTGTGCGTATATTTTTGTTGTATAATTGTCAGTTAACTAAACTATTCATATTCATGTCTCTCTTATCATAAGCTTTATTTTGACTTATGAACTGTTATTATAAGATTTTCCATTCTTGAATTATTCCCTGTCTATTAATCACTACCTCCCACAGCCACATTTGACCAAATCTTGTACAAATGTTGTTTTCTATTTTATGGTACGTTGTGGTCTGTTTGATTGGTATATAAACAGAGTATGTTTGAAATATAATGATTCATATCGCAGAGGCTCGGATTGGTGTTCTGGACTTAATTGGCTGGGCTAGGTGGAAAGCAGGACCAATCAAGACTCTAGACTGGTCGCAGGTGTTTTACGCGCCCTTGGTCCGATCGATAATTCGCTGCTCCCTAAATGGCGGTTACAAGTTAAAACAACTGTTCAACTATATCAATTTTTCGTTCACTACCATGTAATAAATCTGTGACTTTTCAGATCTGAATTTTACAATTAGTTAATTCTACTAACATTTTGTAGTGAAAGAGAAAACAAGTGAAGACAGTCGATTATATATAACACAAAATTACAGAGCTACTTAGTAAAATAAAAAATTCACACTTCAAATACTTCATTTGCAAAATGTTTATTAATTGTCTCAGATTTAATTGTTCCTGCATTTCTGTACCAATTGTTTTCTTTCCCTATTCTTCCCTTCTTCATCTTATCAACCTTTTGCTGCCAGACATTTTATTCCTGACTAGCGTTATATACTACTTATGTCGATATAGGTAGCACACACTACAATTCCATTAGCCAGAATTTATCTATTTGCACACAAATTTTCGTAATTAGCTCATATTTTCGCTACATATGGATAAAACCCTCAATAGATAAACACCTAGCTTCCGTCCAAATGTCATATTATACATCCCTAAAGTCTTTTATTTCAGAAAATTCTCGCAAAATTCGAGCATGACATTGTACTGATTAGGCAGCTGCTTAATCAACCCATGCCTCAAAAAATGACCGGGGTCACCTTGCTAAAGGTATACAGACTAGGTAGTCTAGCAAACTTGAAACCAAATCAATCCAGACTACTTAAAGTAGTATTCAAGTCTTCGAACAAACGCAATCTAATTTTACAGAATGGATATAAATTAAAGGGTTCAGGAGTTTATTCTTAAGGACTTGCCATTGGCAGACCGTGTAAAAAGACGGGGAGCCGAAAACGAACTGCAACTTTGGTTAGACGCTGGCGAAAAGGACCTGAAAATTGTAAATTTTCGGGTTGTAAGGCTTCGACAGAAAATGATGCCGAAGCCACTCTGGGTGAAGCACGAAGGCACTTAAACAGGCTTCGGATCTGTTACACCAATGCACGAAGCTTACTTAATAAGCGATCGGAACTAGGTGTACAGATTGACTCTATAAAGCCAGATATAATCGCAGTAACAGAAACCTGGCTGACACAGGCTATAGATAGTATGGAACTTGATTTCGAGGGCTTTACGTTAGTAACGGCCAACAGAACACAAAAGCGCAAAGGAGGGGCAGTAGCTATATTCATTAGGAATGCTATCCCATTTGCCATTATCGATAGTGTACCCCATGAGAGTGGGACGTGTGAATTAGTTAATCTTCGCTTAAAATGCAAGGGACAAGAGCTGCTGATTGGTTTGGTCTATCGCAGTCCAAGCTGTGAGGCAAATGAGATCCTGTTAAGCAGTCTCAATACTTGGTCCCAGAGTGGTCGATGTCTAATCCTAGGGGACTTTAATGCACCTATGGTAGACTGGGAAAATCTGCGAACTAAATCGTCGGAGAATTCTTTCGAGCAGGAACTAGTTGATGGGGTTATCACATGTGCTCTAGTGCAACATGTGAAAGAAGCGACAATGTACGATCCGGACACTGAATCATCCTTATTAGATCTTATACTGACTCACTATGAGGATGATGTTGCGAACCTCCATCATATGCCACCCTTAGGTAAAAGTGACCACGCAGTTTTAACTTTCGACTTCCATATAACTGCCAGTCATGAGGACGCGTCAGTCCAGTCCAGACCCAACGTCTGGAAAGCAAACATACCAGACATCATGCACTCAGCATCGTTAATAGATTGGACAATAGACCCAGAGTCCTCCATTGAAACGGCCTGGGACGCATTTCGAAAATCATACTTAAAAGTTACCACACCTCACATCCCTTGGACTATACCAAAGGGGCCGAAAAACTCACCACCATGGTTCAGTAGGGAGGTCCGTATCCTTCTCCGTAAGAAGAGGAAAACGTGGGATAGATTTAGGTTACTGGGGACTGATGAGTCAAAATCTCAGTATCGAAAGGCTTGGAACACTTGTGCCTCGACCCTCCGTAAGTCTAGAAAATTGTACGAAGAAAAACTTGTTAAGGAATCCATAGAATGTCCTAAACGCTTGTATTCCTATATAAACCAAAGGACAAGGAGAAAAGGAAATATTCCTGCTCTATGGGGAGACAGTACTGCTTCATCATTAGTGGAGGACGACTTTGGTAAGGCTCAAGTGTTCTGGAACTACTTTAGCAACGTATATACCATAGAAGCGCCCTTCCCGTCAGCGTATACAGATCCCCCCATACATACACTGGATAGCGTGACCATTAAAGAACTCGATGTCTTTGGTCTGCTAAATAAGCTTAACATAGGTAAATCCACGGGGCCCGATGAATTACATCCTATGCTACTGAAGGAATTATCTAACTTCGTTGCAAGCCCTTTAGGTACATGCTTTAACTTATCTGTTACGCCGGGTCGTTTACCAAAAGACTGGAAAAACGCCATAGTAAGTCCTGTCTTCAAAACAGGTACGAAACACAAACCTGAGAACTACCGCCCTGTTAGCCTAACTAGTGTGGTCGTTAAAATCTTAGAAAAGATTATTCGGAAGGAGCTGTTTAAGTATCTTGATAGAAACCGGATCCTCTCGGAGAAGCAGCATGGCTTCAGAATAAATTATTCTTTTCTCACTAACTTATTAGTGGCTCGTGAAAGCTGGTGTGCTCTTAAGGACCAAAAGTTACCTGTAGACGTCGCCTTCATTGATTTCAGTAAAGCTTTTGATAAAGTTCCGCACAACCGGCTGTTATATAAGTTAAGAAATGTCGGGATTAGAGGCAATTTATTGATGTGGATAAAAGACTTCTTAGTTGGGCGTCAACAAAGAGTTCGGGTGAACTCAAAGTTATCTAGCTGGGAAACTGTGCTTAGTGGAGTGCCCCAGGGTACAGTTTTGGGGCCAGTGCTATTCCTCTTGTATGTAAATGACCTTCCTCGTCTCCTATCATCATCGGTCTTGCTATATGCTGACGATGTCAAGATATGGAGAACGATACGATGTAAGAGTGATAGCTTAGAACTTCAAAATGACCTGAAGAAGTTATCTGAATGGTCTCAAACCTGGCAGTTGCCGATAAATACTTCCAAGTGTGTTGTGATGCATATTGGTCATCAAGGCACAGATACATACACGATGAATAACACTGAGCTAACTGTCGTCCAGACATATAATGACTTAGGAGTCATCGTTAGTCAGGACTTAAAGACTACTGCACACTGCCGTGCAATAGCCGCCAAAGGTTTTAGAACGTTATGGTCAATACGTAGGGCTTTTATTCATGTCGACGCTAAAACGTTTTTGAATTTGTATACAGTGTTCGTTCGTCCTAAACTTGAGTACTGCATACAAGCGGCCAGCCCCTGCTTAAAAAAAGACAGTGAGCTTCTGGAAAAGGTCCAGAGAACGGCGACTAAGCTGATTCCCGGAATAGCGAAGCTTCTGTATGAAGCTCGTCTGGCCAAGCTGAACCTTTTCCCGTTGTCATATCGCAGAACTAGAGGCGACTTGATTACAGTCTACAAATTGCTTAGTGATAAATTTGCACCTAACATGCCCTCATTTTTCTTGTCTTCCAAAACAGAGAATTTACAAGGACACCCCAAAAAAGTTCACAAGCTGAGAACAAATTACTTGTCAGCTGACTATCGACTTTCCCATCGAATCACCAACGAGTGGAATTCACTACCTCAGCATGTGGTTGAGGCTCCATCCGTCGATTCTTTCAAAAGAAAGTTGGATCAACTGAGAGACCACCATTGCCAGGACTAACATAGGCCATCAAGCCTCCTGTCCTTCCCAAACTGAAACTGAAAAAGCATTCCAATTGATACTCATTAAGTGTAAAACATCCCGTAGTGAGCTCACAGCTAATGACTTCACAAGTTGCACTGTGATGGGATTCGCAAGCAAAAGAGCGGATATTGTGTTATTAGCTATGTGTAAAAGGACGCCATTTCTTTTCCTATATCTATGTCTATCACTTCCTAGGTAGTAGTATCCGGATAATTCTGGAGTAATGTCGAAATCATGGACTAACTAAGTTTCTGTCACGACTACTCTGAGTGGCATTAATTTGTCCACTAATTCCCCTAGATCGTGAAATTTATTTCTTGGACTACGAGAATTTTCATATAAAACCCCTAGGGAGAACGACCTATCAACATAGGCATTGGTAGCATCCTTTTTCAAAACCTGACAATTCGAAACCACTGTAGGTGGGGGTTTTTCCTTGCCACTCTGCAGACGAGTTTCTAGTTCAGCTAGTGCCATCTTCCTTTTCATTCTTTATTCTAGGAACATACCATATATTGCCCCAATGTCGGTAATGTCGTGACTACGAGCGCTACTTAACGAAAGATCTCGTCTTTTTTCATACCTTATGATTATCTTAAGGTATATGCATGTTTAGGCTTCAACACTTTTATCGGTCCTCCCGCCTATTCTTATCAATTTTACGACCTGAACTTCGTTAGAGTTATATGGGGCAGTGATTTTTGTACTTGTTGTGATTATACTTGCTTTGGGTACTTATTGCACCAAAAAGCATTCTCGGTTTACTTTAACTTAAAGTACCTTGGTTAAAGTTTGAAATTTTTTGCTAAATTTCGTCCTGAGTGTAAGATCCATTTTGAATGCTTTGTGTGTCTGTGAAAATCCCTCCATGTATATACTTGCACTTTGTTCCTATTGATCCTCTTAGTTGTACATTGTTAACTTTTTGGCTACATTTGAATTGTTAATATTTGTATTTTATTATAGTTTTCGTTTTTACTACACCTTCACTAATTCCCCATGTTTCTTCCCGAACTGCACTTATGTTGTTTTACTCTATACTAAGTCTGG